ACCGGACCAGACTCTTCTTTGTTTGAGCTGCTCCCACACACGCACACCAGAAGATCTCACTTGTCCTAGATTGGACAAGTAAAGTAGAAAGAGAAGGACAACGAGTAGGAGAAAGAGGAGAAATAGATGGACAATGAGTAGAAGAAGAAGGAAGAAAAAAGAGGAGAAGGAACGGAGAAGGAGAAGGAAAAGGAGAAGAAGGAAGAGGAGGAAGAAGGACAAGAAGCGGATAAGGAGAAAAAACAAGGAGGAGAAGGAGAAAGAATAAAAAAGAGGAGGGGAAAGAGAAGGAGGAGAGAAGTCAAGAAGAAGGAGAAAAAGCAGAAGTAAAAGAAAGAAGAGAATGAGTAGGAGAAGAAGATGGGGAAAAGGAGCAGGAAAAGTGACTGGAAGAAGGAGAGAGGAAAAAGAGAAGGAGGAGGAGGAGAAGCAAGAGGGGTGGGAGAAGGAGAAAGAGGAGGACGATAGCAGGTGAAGAGGGAAAAGGAGAGAGGATAAGTCACTCAAAAGTTCAAATTTATGGCGACTCTAAGGAACATCAGTGACTTGTGCAATGAACGAAAACTAAAATAGAATCACATAGAAAAAGAGCAATGATTCCATAAAATCATAAATTTACAATGTGTATAGAGGCATATATATACATACATACCTATATAGAGAGAGATTTAGAGAGAAGGAGAAAGGTAAAATGGTGCAATGGGAGTTCACATTAAGATGAATGAATAGGGTTGCTCTGACAATTCAACGGAAACTTATAAGCCCTAAGTTCCCCTAGACTCATCAATTTGCTCGAAGGTGATGGCTCTTGACTGGAAGATAATGTAATATCCCCCACCAGCTGCTGAGCTTTATGAAAGGTCACACCCTTGAAGCTAAGATTTCCCAGGAGAAGAAAAAAATGTAACACCCCGGTTTCCCGGATACGTTAATTGATTAAATCAACCACAATATATATCACCAAATATAGAGTCAGAGCTCTAATTACCTCAATAAAAATTATAATTGAGAAATAACATGCATGGACAAAGAATGAATATCTGTCCATAATGATGCAAGCTTCATAGCCTCACCATGTGAGGTTGGGTGGAAGTTTGGCTATAAATAGCCATGGTGCTGTCAAGCAAAATGCAGACAAGAAAGGAGAAAAAAATGATGGAGGAAGGAAGAGAAAGAGAGGAAGAAGAAAAAAATATATAGAAAGAAATTTTTTTGAGATTTTAGAGTCAAAAATTGGGTGGTGATTTTATTTCATATCGCTACCAAATTTAAGTATATTGTTTGTGATACTTCGAATTTCACATCCATTGAAGACATTGATGATTTTGATGTATGTGGTAATATACAATATGCTCATGTATTTAAATTTCTTTGTAAGAATGTCCTTTTAATGTCTTAAATTTGTAGTATTTTCTATTGATATTAAATTCTGCAAGAGAAAAATTGGCAGAAAAAAAGGGAGAAAAAGTGACAGAAAGGAGAGGAGAAAGGGAAGGATGAGGAGGAGGAGAAGTATGGTGAAGAAGGAGGAGGAGGAACAAGAGGAGAAGGAAGTAGAGGGCAAAGGAGAAAGAGGAGGAGGAGGAGAAGCAAGAGGAAAAAAAGGTGAAGGAGAAGTCACTCGAAAGATCAAACTTTATGGCGACTGTAAAGAACATTGGTGACTTGAGAGGAATGGAAACTAAAATAGAATCACATAAAAAAACAATGACTCCATAAAACCATAAATTTACGGTGTGTATAGATATATATATACTTATAGAGAGAGATTTAGAGAGGGAGAAAGGCAAAATTGTGCAATGGGAGATCACATTCGGAACTAAGTATTTCTTGGGTTTGTGATGAACGAAGACTCATAAACCCTAAATACCCTTATGCTTGCTTTGACAATTCAACAGAGACTCATAAGCCCTAAATACCCTTAAGACCCGTCAATTTGCTCGGAGTTGATGTCTCTACTGGAAGATAATGTAATATCCTTTTTTAGTTGTTGAGCTTTATGAAAGGCTACAAATTTGAACTCCCTTTGAAGCTAAGATTCCCTAGGAGGAGGAGAAGAATGAGAAGGAGAAGGAGAAAAAGGAGGAGGATAAGAGTGAAAAAGAAGAAGAATGAGGGAGGAG